CTCTAGTAGTCTTGATGTGTCTCAGTAAAGCATTTCCTGTAAGTTTTATTCTCCACTTGAGCTGCACAATGAATGACCAGTTATTTCTTACCTTTTTAGGCAGGCAGGCGGTCACAGTACAGTAAAACAATGTGCCCTTTGCTGATGGAGATGAGCTGCTGCAGGATACAGTACTGTCATCCACCCATCACATAACTGAAGACAGCACAAAAGATTTGCACTACTGCTCTGGTAAGGTACAGTTCATCTTACAACATGTTCCCAGGCTCCCACCTCATCCACTTCCATAAATGCATCAGGGCTCCATCTCTATACAATTACAGACACTTCCTGCTACCCCACCATACAGCCCAGGCAGCAACACAAAACACATATCACACAGTAGTGATTTGCTGGTTCCACCACAGAAGCATCAACGATGCAACAGGAGGTCAAAACAAAAATGAAGAGACCCAATGCTAAAAAATTCCAAGTAGGTCTTGTCGATAGGTCATCTTTAATTACACTTATTGCTATTCTAACAGTTGTCTTGATTTATTTCCAGGTCTCCACTGTCAGGGCCAAGTTCAGGGGTCATTTTTCAGGGAAGTTCACAATTTCAGGGAAGTAGGGCTGGAAAGGCAAACCAGTTTTGTCCTGCCTCTTAAATCCTTGCTGTATTGCCAGTGTTTCTGCATCCTCTTCTAAGAAGTTGGAAACAGACATTAAACCTGAATCTCGCGGCATTCTCCCAAGGTAAACATCACCTTGAGAGACTACAAGACAATGAACCACAGTGATGACACGGGCCACAAGTTCTGAAATCAAGCAGTCAACACTATTTGCCAGCACGGCTCTTGCTCACAGTTACCGAGACATCTCCTGAGAAAGGTAAGATAAGCCATGCTTTCTATGGGGGGAATCAGGAGTTTCCTGTGTTGTCCCAGTTTATACCCACATGATCATCATAAGGCATGCACACAACGAGATGCAAAATAAAAGTTTATTTTAAATAGTATTCTCAGGAAGGGGAGGAGGGAGGAAAGAAAAGGAAAGGAAATACAAAGCCTATAACTGTATGGTGCATGGAACTGACAGAGTCAGGAACCACAGCTGAGGTGCTCTTACAAATATATTTGCCCACCAGAAACATGTCCTCTAGCAATACATCTTGCCTAATTTACCACTATAGCTGCACATTTTTCATACCTACCTTGGTTCATGCTCTTATGCCATTAAGTAGTATTTATTAGAAAAGGAAAGGGATAACGGGAAGTGTTTCTACTATCTTTTCCATGCCCATAGTAATTCTGTGGTACTTCATAAACTAATATATGCCATGCAGGTGAACAGAGAAGAACCTGGAGTAACATCTGCAGTCAGATTGCATGATCCCTGTTTCAGAAGAGAATCAAAAAGGAGGACAGACTTCTGGTTAAGAAAAGACTGAAATCAGCACTTCCTACCAGTCAAAAGCAAAAAGTTCATTAAAACTGCCCTACCTGAAAGACAGGAAAATGCACACAAATTAAGACAGTCCTTCAATATGAAAGAAGGTTGAAAGAGGCATTTGGAGTTCGGATTAACTACACAGATGGCAGGAAAACCAAACCTCGAGCAAGATATGGTCAAAACTGCAGTGGGGCAGAGATCTTTGCCAGTAATTGTGTCATTTAATAGTTTATCAAGGGATGTCAAAAAGTCATGGAGAGTGATATAACAAAGGTTGCAGGAGATGTTACCCTACAGAGCAGTTCTCTCTGCTGAGAAGAACTGCAGAAAGAGTTAATGACCCTGAAGATTTAGGTGGGAAAACGGTAAAAGATTATCCATGCAGGAAACCACAGAGCTGAGCAGATGAGGAGAAAAAGTGAGGCTTTGACAAACCGAGACTGTGACTGACTCTGAAACAAATAATTTCAGGTTCTGAAATTACATCTTTTGCACAGAAAAAAACAGTGACCTGGATATATCAGCTCTGCTCTCAGTGCAAACTAAAAAGGTAAGACTTATGAGACCACGGAAGAACACAATGCATTTCATTCAACTTTACAGAAATATAAGGTTCACCAACACTGAATATTTTGAGAGGGTCTTTCACTTCTTAACATGGAAAGAAGAAGAGAGAAGACCAGGAAGGGTTTCAGAGAAGGACAGCAGGATGACCAAAGATTCAAAGTAGCTTCTCTTTGACAGATATTTCCTTGTGTTAAAACATAAAAGACTGAAACTGGATACGCAAGGGCTATCCAAAGAAGAAGTATCGTGAAGAAAGTAGGTGTAAAGACAGGAAAAAACTAGATTGCGCAACACTGAGAGAAACTTAGATATGTCCATCCTCTAGGACATATTTGGACGGAAAATATCCACATATCCTTTAAATCCCAGCTTATACTCTCGATCTCCCCATCTGGTCTACAAAAGATACGAGGTGCTAAAGCAAACAGGAGACCTTACCGCACCTTCAGTTAGATATAAAGAAGTAAAACATCACGTTTACTAGCATTGAGGTCCTGACGCTACGGACAATGGCGTGAAACGGATCCAAGCAATTCCGATCGACAGGAAGAGGAGAAAATCCCATTAAATAACGCAGCAGACAAACAACTTGCAGAAGAAAACAAAAGCAACGCTGCAGTCAGCAACCTGAGAGAAAGCACCCAAAAAGCACCGTCCTCGGGCCCCGCGGGCTTAAACCAATTCCCAAAAGAGATTGCCCGGGGGTTGGGACACAGGGGACAAAAAGGCGAGAAGGGGGCGAGAGACGATAACGGGCGGGCACTGACCGTGTCCAGCAGAGCGGGCGGCTCCGGCTGCGTCTCCTTCGCCGCGGGGCCGGGCGGCGGCGGGAAGTTGGGGCTGAAAACCATCAGGTCGCTCTTGCCCGCGCCCTCCGCCACGCACAGGCTCCGGCTCTGGCGCTGCGAGTACGACCAGCTCCCCACTTCGCTGGCGCACACCAGCGTCGCCGGACCGGCCCCCGACAGCACGGCCGCCCGCGGCGCCCACCGCGACGCCCCGTACAGCACCACCGCCAGCAGGAACACGCTCGACACCGCGCAGATCGCCACCACCAGCCACACGTTCGTCGACGACGCTCCCGACGACGACCCAACGCCCTCCGACCCCGACCACGGACGCAGACCCGACGACGACGACGACGACGAAGAAGAGCCCCCCGACGCCGCCGCCGCCGCCTCGCCGCCCTCCACCAGCGACACGCTCAGCGTGGCCGTGGCCGAGCGCGACGGCTCCCCGTGGTCCCGCACCACGATCACCAGCCTCTGACGCGGACCGTCCGCCTCCTCCAGCGCCCGCGACGTCGTCACCTCGCCGCTGTACAGACCCACGCGGAACGGGCCCTTCCCACGCGGCTCCCACAACTCGTACCGCAGCCACGCGTTGTAGCCCGAGTCCGCGTCCACCGCACGGATCTTCGCCACCACCTGACCCGCCGGCGCGCCCCACGACGCCCACGCCCACAGCGACCCCGCCTCCACCGCCTCCACCTCCATCGACGACGAGCCGCCCCAGCCACCGCCCACCGACGACGGCAGCAGCGCCGGCGCGTTGTCGTTCTCGTCCACCACGAACACCTGCACCGTGGCGTTGCCGCTCAGCGGCGGATCCCCCGCGTCCACCGCACGCACCTCGAACTGCAGCACCTGCACCTCCTCGTAGTCCAGCGGCTGCAGCGCCCACACCCGACCGCTCTCCGCCTCCACCGACACGTAGCTCGACGCCGCGCGCCACCCCGACGACGCCGACGCGCCCCCGACGCCGCCCTCCCACAGCGAGTAGCTCACGCGACCGTTGCCCGCCTCGTCCGGGTCCCGCGCCCACACGCGCCCCAGCTCCGCGCCCGCCGCGTTGTTCTCCCGCGCCAGCACCGTGTACACGGCCTGCAGGAACGACGGCGCGTTGTCGTTCACGTCCGACACCGGCACGCGCACCCCGCGCCTGGCGCGCAGCGGCGGCGACCCGCCGTCCTCCGCGCGCACCTCCACCTCGTACTCCGACACCCGCTCCCGGTCCAGCGCCTCCCGCAGCACCAGCGAGTACGACCCCGCGAACCTCGACACCAGACCGAACGGCGACGCCGGCCACACCGCGCACCGCACCCGACCGTTCGCCCCCGAGTCGCCGTCCGACACGCTCAGCAGCGCCACCACCGTCCCCAACGACGCGTCCTCCGGCACCGGCACCGACAGCGACGTCACCCACACCTCCGGCGCGTTGTCGTTCACGTCCAGCACCTCCAACACCACCTTGCAGTGACCGGAGAGTGAGGGCGTCCCTTTGTCTCTCGCTTCAATACGGAAATCAAATATACTGACTTCTTCAAAGTCCAGGGCGCCCGTGAGACGGATCTCCCCCGTCTGCGGATTCACAGTGATCACGTCTTTTCCACTCGGCGGAAAGAAGTTAGTTGCTGTGTAGGTCACCTCACTGTTTATTCCCTCGTCCGCATCCGTGGCGTTCACACGCACCACCAGCGTCCCCTCCGCAGCGTTCTCCGGCAACTGCACTTTATACACCGACTGGTTGAACTGGGGCGCGTTGTCGTTGGCGTCCGGCACCGAGATCACCAGCTCCATCGTGCCCGTCAGCGACGGACGGCCCCCGTCACTCGCCGTCAAAACCAACCGGTGCAAAGGCAACGTCTCGCGGTCCAGCGGATTCGTTAAAACAAGATCCAGTTCTATATTTCGCTCATTCGATTTTTGTATATCCAGAGAGAAGTGCTCGCTGGGGCTGAGTGTGTAGGAGAGCTGCGCGTTGGCGCCCACATCTGCATCCGACGCGCCCTCCAGCGGGAAACGAGAACCCGGCAGAGACGATTCCGCGATGCTGAGGTTTTTTCGGGCGGCGGGGAAGACCGGGGCGTTGTCGTTGATGTCGGTCACCTCCAGCTCCACGTGGAAGACGCGCAGCGGCCGCTCCACCAGCACCTCCAGCCGCAGGGCGCACGGCGCGCTCTTCCCGCACAGCTCCTCCCGGTCCAGCCGCGAGCTCACCACCAGCGCCCCGCTCGCCCCGCTCACCTCCACGCTCCACCCGCGGCCCGGCGACACCAGGCGCAGCCGACCACCCTCCCCATCCACCGCCTCCAGGCCCAGGTCCTGCGCCAGACGGCCCACCACCGTCCCGGCCTTGGCTTCCTCCGGCACCGAGTACCGCACCTGACCAACCACCAACGAACACGCCGCCTCCACCAACACCACCGCCCGCAACACCACACCCCAACTCACGACCATCCTCCCCGCTGCACCCGCCGCCGCCGCCGCCGGCACCCGCCCGGGCCCCGCACGGCTCCCCGCCGCCGCCGCACGGACGCACCGGCTCTCCTGCCCGCCCCGCGCCGCCCCCCCGCGCTCACAGCCGGGCTCTCCGCCGCACCGGGGCGGAGCCGCCTCGCCGCTCCGCCGCCGTTTCTGAGCCTGCAGCGACACCGTGTGCTCCGACGACGCCTCACACCTTCCCCAGAAGCCGCTCTGCCTCCGGACCCGGCTACTCCACTCCTTCCTCCACTCTTCCTCCCCTTCTCCTCTTTTTGTCTTATTGCCCTCTTCCTCGTTTTTTTTTTTTTTTTTTTTGTTTGTTTGTATGCTGTTTGCTTCCACAGATACCTTTCTCTCCGTCTTCCTTGTTCTTCCTTTCTCTTTCTTTCTTCTCTTTCTTCTTTCAGTTATCTCTCATTCTTCCGTTCTCCTTTTCTTCCTTTACAAGTCCCTCTCTTTCCCCTTGTTTCACTATTTTCTACTCTTTCCTCTTCTCTTTCTCCTTTATTCCCTTTCCCAATTTTTCTTTCTCTGTCTTCATTTCTTTTTTGTTCTTCCTCTGCTGAACAATATCCTTCCCTCCCCTTTCTCTTCCGCTTCCATCATTGGCTCTTGTTTACCCCGCTGTCAGTTTCCCAGTCGCCTCCGGCGCCGCGGCGGAGACCATCAAAGACGAAACCATTAGCGCTAATTATGGGGCATCAGTGCACGAGCGCGGGACTCTAATCAAGGCGGGGGCTGGTAGGGACCAACACAGTTCAGAAGCTGGGGATATTGACGTCACGCTGGTCTCCTCAGTCCTATCTTCTTTCTTTCCTTTCTCCTTCTTTTTCTTCGTGCTTTTTCTCCTTTTTACTTCCCTACATTCCTTCCTTCTCTTATTCCTCCCCTTCTGCCACTCTCTTCTTCTGTCTCTTTCTCCCTTTTTTCCTACCCTTTCTTCTCTTCCTTCTTCTTTCTTCTGTCTCCTCTTTCCTTCACTCTTTCCTCTTCTCTTTCGGCCTCATCTTTGCGTCCTAACCTTTTCTCTTTATACAAAAACAGTCGAGCTGTTCTCTCTTCCCTTCTCTATAACCAAAATGCTTAACAAAGGTCTGCGCCAACTCCCACTATACCATGGACATCTCTTCAGGCAAGAGCTCTCATTCCTTCTCTTCAACACTTTTCAACAAGATTTACACAACGTTACTTGGTCCCGAGGATACTGAGGAGCTCCACTCTATTCATTGGTTCAATGTGACATCAGTGAACGCTGGTAATCTGCTCTGTTGTCTCTCCCTTCTTTCCTGTATCTTCCTCCTTTCCTTCTGTCTTTCTTCCCTTCTTCCTTTTCTCTTTTCCTTTCTTCCTTGCTTCTTTCTAACTTGCAGAGATTCCTTCCTTCCCTTATTCCTTTTATTCTTCCTTCCCCTCTCATCTTCAGTTTCTTTTTCTTTTTTTTTTTTTTTTTTTTTTTCTTTTTTTTTTTTTTTCCCTGTTTTTTTTTTTTTTTTTTTTCACTTGACTTCTTCTTGCCTTCTATCTTCTGTTCGTTTTTCCAGTTCTTAAAGTATCAACACCACACTCGCCATTAACCACAGACGTGCCCTTTGGCAAGAGCTCTCATTCCTCTTCCCCGTTGCCTTCCATCCTGCGAGCAGGGAACAACCTTCCTGCTGTCAAGTCTATGAATCTGCAGCTCCTCCAATCTTGTGGAAGAAGAACACAAGCTTCGGCATATCAGCCATCTCAAGGACCCAGCAAATAACACAGCGAGGCAATCATATGGCAAAGAACAGCTCTGCTACAGCACAAAAGAATCCACCGCTCTCTGAAACACAAGCCCAAGACCCAGGTACTTGGACATCTGGTAAATAAGGCTCCATTGAGTTCAAAAGACGCAAGCAAGCCTTTCCTTCGGGAACTCAAACCCATCACAGCCCAGCACAACAATCCTCCACAATCCTCCACAAAGGCTGAAAAAGCACATGGCAACCACAGCTCACGACCACTCTTCATATACCTCGATTCTTCTGGCCTCATTTTTCCAACTGCACCCTTCATGTCCAGCTCTTCCTTTCCCTTTCACCCACTTCAGGTGTGACCAACTGAGATAGAGTTGACTTTCTTACTAGTAGCTGCTGTGGTGCTCTGTTTTGGATTTGGGATGAGAACAGCATTGGTAACGCAGGAGGGTGTTTTGTCTTCCCAAATAACTGTTACGCGTGATGGAGCCCTGCTTTCCTGGAGCTGGCTGAACACCTGCCTGCCAATGGGAAGTACTGAATACATTCCTTGTTTTGCTTTGCTGGCATGGTCGGCTTTTGCTTTACTTGTAAAACTGTCCCTATCTTAATCCATGATTTTTCCTTATTTTTCTGATTCTTCACATTCCTCTGGTGAGAGGGAATAAGGAGTGAGTGGCTGCATGGTCAGTTTCCCTCCACAATACACAATGAACAGTTCCCTCCACAATACACTGTTAATTTCAGAGAGTTAGAAGAGGCCTAGCTAAGAAGCAAAATTACTAAAATAACAAGTTCGTTCTGTTTTTCCTCAAACCATTAACCACAGACGTGCCCTTTGGCAAGAGCTCTCATTCCTCTTCCCCGTTGCCTTCCATCCTGCGAGCAGGGAACAACCTTCCTGCTGTCAAGTCTATGAATCTGCAGCTCCTCCAATCTTGTGGAAGAAGAACACAAGCTTCGGCATATCAGCCATCTCAAGGACCCAGCAAATAACACAGCGAGGCAATCATATGGCAAAGAACAGCTCTGCTACAGCACAAAAGAATCCACCGCTCTCTGAAACACAAGCCCAAGACCCAGGTACTTGGACATCTGGTAAATAAGGCTCCATTGAGTTCAAAAGACGCAAGCAAGCCTTTCCTTCGGGAACTCAAACCCATCACAGCCCAGCACAACAATCCTCCACAATCCTCCACAAAGGCTGAAAAAGCACATGGCAACCACAGCTCACGACCACTCTTCATATACCTCGATTCTTCTGGCCTCATTTTTCCAACTGCACCCTTCATGTCCAGCTCTTCCTTTCCCTTTCACCCACTTCAGGTGTGACCAACTGAGATAGAGTTGACTTTCTTACTAGTAGCTGCTGTGGTGCTCTGTTTTGGATTTGGGATGAGAACAGCATTGGTAACGCAGGAATGTTTTCAGTTGTTGCTGAGCAGTCAAGGCATTTTCTGTACCTCACACCACCCTGCCACTGGGTGGGCTGGGAGTGCGCAGAATGGCGGGAGCGGACGCAGTGGTGACAGCTGACCCCAACTCACCACAGGGATATTCCACAGTATGTGATGTCATGCTCAGCAGATAAAGCTGGGGGGGGGGGGGGGGGGGGGGAAAAGAAACGTTTGGAAGGGTGTTTTGTCTTCCCAAATAACTGTTACGCGTGATGGAGCCCTGCTTTCCTGGAGCTGGCTGAACACCTGCCTGCCAATGGGAAGTACTGAATACATTCCTTGTTTTGCTTTGCTGGCATGGTCGGCTTTTGCTTTACTTGTAAAACTGTCCCTATCTTAATCCATGATTTTTCCTTATTTTTCTGATTCTTCACATTCCTCTGGTGAGAGGGAATAAGGAGTGAGTGGCTGCATGGTCAGTTTCCCTCCACAATACACAATGAACAGTTCCCTCCACAATACACTGTTAATTTCAGAGAGTTAGAAGAGGCCTAGCTAAGAAGCAAAATTACTAAAATAACAAGTTCGTTCTGTTTTTCCTCAAACAAACCAGGACAGCTGGAGAGAGCACAGTGCTCCCTTAGAGACCTCTGTCAAGAGGAAATGAGGAGGGAGACCCAAAAATTAAGGACATTCTCTAAACAATAACCTCAAGTCAAGACAGTGGAAAAGCCATCCTCCACACAGGTGACAAACAGCCCAAACATCTGCTACTTGACAGATGCCACAGTTCTGCATTTACACCTCAGCCACTGTTACCAGCACGTTGCCAAAGTGAGAGAAGGAGAAATAGAAGTTATGAGTTTTTGGCAAAATATGGGGAAAAAATCAAAGGATCCCATTCCACTGTATTGAAACGCAAGAAGAGAACTACAGGGCACAAGGATATGACAGCAACTTACCTGTAGAATCCACAATGGTTTTTTCAAAATAAAAAGCATTTTCAAGACAGCAAAAATGTTTTTAAGGGACATTTTCAAATAACATTATGAGAGATTCCTTGGGAAGCCAGACAGAAAAAAAAGTTACCCATGGTCTGCAAACATGAAAACACTGACAGTGCACAGTTCTCACTTACACACTTCTGTCCCAAGGAAACTAGGAGGGAGACCTGAAAACTAAAGACATTCTCTAAATGACAACCTCAGCTCAAGACAGTGGAAAAGCCACAACACGCCACCCCCCTCCGGCATGACAACTGGCACAGTCTGCAACTTGACAGCTGCCACAATTCCAGAGTCTGCATCTCATCCACTGTTACCAACACATGGCCAATGTGAGAGAAGGAAAAACAAAAGGCTATGAGTTTCTGGTAAAAGGGAAGAAAAACCAAAGGATCCCACAACACTGTATCGAAATGCTAGAAGAGAACAGGGCACGAGGATATGCAGAAATTCTGGAAGCCCTTGAGGTCTTCCACTGGCATCCTCTATCCCACACCTGGGGAAAGGGCATCTCCAGCTAAGAAGACATTCTACAGTTCTTCCCCAGTGACACAGACCACGTTCTAACCAGCTTCTCCATTTCCCTCAGGCAAGACTTTTCCCCACTCAAGGTCACACTCCCCATGACACATGCCCGGCCCTGCTTCAGCCACTCACAGCATTGTATTGCTGCCCCCGTACCCGGGTACTGCTCCAGCTCATAACATGCCCTCACCTAAACCCCAGTCTCACCATGACCCACACATCATCTCTACTGCGGCAACAGCAGCCGCTTTTGATGAAAGCAGAGAAGAAAACCAAAGTACCCCATTCTGCTGTATTGAAACACCAGGTTTACCAACATCTTCATATGGAGAGTATTCTTCTCCTCCCCCAAGAGACGAAGACCTGAGAGATCACCAAAGAAGGTTCAGAGAAGGATGGCAGCATCATCCACATTTCAAAAAGCTTCTGAGTAACCAGCAACATGCCACATCTAAAACAAGTGATTAAAGGCACATATGGAGTTGTCTGCACAAGCAGTAGCACCAAAGACAACAACAGAGTACAAGGATATGCAGGACACCTGGAGGTCCCGAGATGATCCTGGGAGAGAAACCCTCTGCGCCAGGCCTCTTCTCAAGGTTTTCCACTGCCATCCTCCAGCATCTCCATTTTCCTCAGGGAAGACTCTTCC